TAGAAGCTTACGCTTACCTTATTCAACAAAATTTAGAGTTGTTGCTTAATTATCAATAGAGATCTGACCATTTTTTCAGTAGCGTTTTGGAGACAAATAAAATTTCAAGAATTGTAGCATACATTTAGGGTCGGTAACTTTAATAGCAAGATTTAAGCAGTAAGAAATCTCTTTTCACACTTCTACCTAAAGAATAAAATTCTCTTGTTCAATCGATCTTCTTCTTCAAGTCATAAATGTGTACCGTAGCCAGTTCTTTAACCATGCCATGTGCCATATCTTATGTAAACAAGTTTTGCTGTTTTTGGGAGCTTGAGGTAGGAACTCAACAACTTGTATGCGGGTACACCTACTGATCATAAGCCCTACTTGTAGCATTTTCGATACAAGCAACTGGTGTTGTGTTTTTATCCATACTTATGAGTATATAAATTATTCATTGCTCTCAGACTTGGAAAAAACTATACTATTACACTGCTGGTAAGAATTTTTATCTTGATAAACTGATCTATTACTAGTAAGCATGTCCTGGTTGGCCACAATTCAAATTAGTTCGAAAATAACTGTCATAGTCGGTTGCTGCGTTAGTAGTACTGTACATTCGAGACTCTAGAAAATGCGATGCAATCACAGTGGAGTTTCTGTTAATCGTTGGTTTATAAACACTTCACAATATGTTTGTGTTTTGTAAAAAGAGCATTTATTTATTAAAGAAGAGCAAAATTTGAAGGAAAATTTAGAAGGTATATGTATGGAGATTATTACGCTACATATAGATAGATAGATTTTTCACTCAAAAGGAATATCGAATCGAAATTACCAACGAATAAAGGAAAGTCACAAAACTTTGATCGAAATCTAAAATATTTGGAGACATATGAAAACAAACCACATATGAAAAAAAACCAGAAGCAGCGAGACCAAAAAGCAAAATCGCCATTATCATAAGAATTTTATTGGCATTTACTTATTCGCACTCAATATAAAGAAGCCTAAAAGATAATTCTATGATAAAGCTATTGTATTTGTCTTTGTATATTTAATTTATATATTTTGTATTTTAAACTGTCGAATAAATATGAATCCATAAATAACTAATTTTAGCACAGGTTGAATTGATTTTTTTTTTGTCTAGTTATTTATATATGATAAACAAATATTTATGTGCTTGCAAATTTATTTCAATTATGCAAGTGATTGAGTGGCTTTTGAACTACCTGTCGTTTTCGTTACTCAACAGTTTCGCTTTACACTCTCTTTTAAGTATATAGAAATGTTGATATGTGTTGCATGTATTGAAAGCTACAGGGCGCAATAACGAAAAATATTTACCAATTTGTTTGACATCACATGAACTGACAAAACGTCAAAGTCAAAGTCAAAGTTACATTCAATTCAAAGTAAGCGAAATGATTTCACTAACAAGACACAAGCACTGTGGTCAATAAGCGGGAAAAACATATACACACACATACTATGTACATGTACATATGTAAATCCACATATAAAACAACCGAAATAATTCAAAAAAAAAACGCGCAAAGAAGGTCGCGTCTACAAAATTCGCTTTCTCAATACCTGTATGTTATAGATTGCTCGACCTAAAATTGTTTAATTATCAACTTTTGGCTTATTTCTTGAACACACAGTTAAAAGAGTAAAAAAACTGATAACTGTTGAATTAATGCAGACACTCAAAGAGACTTGCAGTCAATTGTCTTTCTCATATTTTGCTTTTATGGCAATTTGACTATCCGTCAGTTATATATTTTGATAATTTTCTAGTCATCAATTAAATTAAATCACATATTAACAAAAAGAATCCAAAGTTAGTAATATATAATAAAAATCTCATTAACATAAAATTTTATATTTAAATGCAAAACGTTTATACTAAACCACTCGTAGGTGGCTTCGCAATCACTTATGACCACAACCACACTCTCTTGTGTGTGAACTATAATCAGATAGTTGAATGAGGCGACAGCATTCGGCATTTCCATACATCGCGGAAGTGTCACAGCCATAAAATGGAAAATTGGCATTTGAATTGGCAAGTCTAACTCTAACGCCAGTTACCGGCAAGTCGCAACCATACGCCAGCCTTCGAGCATCAATTATTACTCAACTACTAGGTAAGAACTGTCAGCCAGACAATGTCACTCCCTGACCAGTACGTCATCATCACATTACGAGCACGCCAATCAACCGCAGTGCTCATTGAAATTATCTACCAGTACCTTTCCGCTGTCGACTGCAGTTGCAGGTCTCTCTGGGGCAATATTATTTTTATTGTTCTTATTGCCTCATTGTGGGTGTTGATTAAGGATGAACTATTGGATAGTAGGTGCTCTTTGTTAACTGTCTGTGCGAATTATGCAAATGCTATTGTTTCGGGTGGCAGCTTATATTTAATGGTTATAACGGTATTTAGTTGTGGAGATAACGGTTATTGCGGCGGTGCAACACCCTTTTTATATATTACTTAAAGGCTTACATGCTCAGGCTACGTATTTTATTTTAATCTTCAGCAGCAAAAATGGTGACGACATGACTGGGTTCATTTCCAAGTTGTGATACAAAAAATTTATCTCCTACAATAATTTAAGGGAAAAAACCATTATATTTATGTGGCTTGGTATTGGTTAAAAATATATTACAGAGGTGGAGTCTTGAGAGTTATATCGTCTTAAGTTAATAGAAAAATAAGAAAATAATAAATATCACCTAATGAAATTTTTTTTAATTTGCCTTTTTATTATTATTATTAGTTATGTTATTTAAAGTGTTTATATTTTTAATAATATTATTTATATTCGATTCCGCACATGACCGCTACGCAGGGCGGGTGAGCCGTGCTGCACTTTATTTCATGACATTGGCTCCCCTCCCGTCGCCGCTCACAACGCTATTTTTTCTAATACTTACATTTTTAAATTCGTAATATCTTTAGAATGGAGTGACCGAATCGAATAATTCAAAAAGTTATATAAACGTATGGCATCAGTCTTGAATACAAAGTAATTAATTTTGATAAGAATTAATACTAAGGTACAATTAATTTTAATAAAAGAACACTAATACAGGATATCTTCAAATAGTGTTTTTATTCGTATTTAATCCCTCACCCAAAATTCTGGCAGTAAAATTTTCATCAATACCAATAATTTTAAGGAATTTCTTTAGTGCTTCAATAAACCATTTCCACATGCTACTGTTTTTT